TGCCCGGCGCCTCAGGTGGCCTTTCAGAAGCCGCGACAGGAGGCTGAAAACACTCAAGTGAAGAAAAAGAAATCAATGGTGCTTGTCATTTCTTTGATCTGTCTCTTTTTTCACTTGGCATCAGCTCTGTCTGCTTTATTGTAGTGCCTCATACCACTTCAACACCTCCCTTCGTTGTCTATCGTCGCTGCTCTCCGGTTCCTCTCGCTTGCTTTCCTCTCACCCTCTCTCTCCATCCCTCATCCTCCCTAATGACTGAGCTGTTGGCAGGCGATATGAAGGCGTCTTATGAGCATAAAACAGCGAGGGAGGAAAATACTGGCTCTCTAAAATGTTAAATTGGACTTTGGACTTATCTCTTCTCTAACTCTTTCTGACTTTCTCGTTTTCGCATCCCTCCTGCCCATTTTCCAGCTTCCCTCCCTCCATCTCAGCCTGTTCTCCGTCACTTCCTTTCTACTTCAATTTATTGCAACTTAAGTTGCTGACGCACTGAAACGGGCCTTTTATTAAAAACCTGATATTGGCCAGCCACTCTCACCAGAGTCATCCACCTCTGATGATGACGGTACCTCCCTGGCTGCAGATAGTCAATGTTTTTTGATATTTTTTTATTTCACATGGCTGCCCAGAGAAATCATTCGGGCTCGGAGTGGGAGGATTTTACTCAACAGTCTGTAAAATCTGCAGTGAAACTAGCTTCAGTCCTCCGTAAGGGGCAGCTAACCCAACTCAAAGAATTCAATTACTTTTAGTGTCCACTGATGGGCTGTAAGGTGCTGAGGGGTTTCAGGGCAATAAAATGGCCTTATCAGAAATCCAATTATAATGCTGCCACGAAATATCTGGCTACTGGGTGCTTAAATGACAAATACATTTGGAATCAGCCCGCAAAGGTTTTATTTTAAAGTTGTAGATTCTTCCAGTTTGTGCCTAAATTTCAATCCTATTCTATGTCTAAGATTACAACACTGCTCCGGGCTATTACCTTGTTCTGAACCGGGGAAATTATTGCTACTTGGAAGTTGGTTTTAATTCTTCTGTATTGTCAAAACTCTATGCAGTTAGATTAGATTACAGTCATTTATCCAAAGCGACTTACAATTCAGAGTCTATCACATTTCTACACCGTAGGCACAACTACGGGAGCAATTTTTCTGGCTTTCTGGCTTATCGAAAGATGGTCAGCAGTGTGATGATGATACACGAGATACTCTGTTACTACCACCTAATAACGCTCTTAGTCTCTGGAGGCACCTCTCATCCTTAGATGTGAGTCACGCTCACCTTCGCCCCCCCCCCCCCATTTTTCAATATGATCCTATCTTTGTGTTGCATCGATGGCCTGCATGTCTTTGTCTCTCTCCGTCCTCTGTCTTGCCCTCCTCTCTCCTCTCTGTGCGGGGATCATCAGCCCAGAGGTCGGTGACCTGCTTAGTGGCTCTGGAACAGATGTTCAAGGGGCAGAGTCTGTGCCTGTGCTTGTTCAGCGTGTGCACGTCCACCGACTTACGGCAGGGGGTTGGACAACCGCAACTAACAAGCACTCGGCACTTAGACTGGAGAGAGGGATTAGTGATTCGTGCCTCATGATGGGGGGGGTGAACGATAGATGGATGGTACGAAGGGATTGAAAGTCGGGTTTTTGGGGACACAGGGGAGGATTAAGACACAGTGAGGACAGAATCATTTGTACGTTGTGTCACAGCTTGGTTAAATAAAGAAAGAAAGAAACCTTGGGGAAGAGGAGGGAGAGAGAGATTGCAGTGAAGAGGTCAGTGTGTTAGAATAGGATTTGTTGTGTGGTTGTAGAGAGTACGTCAGGTTACACTTGATGTGATTTGGTCTCCGGGGGCTGTCGGATGAGTCATCACTTCCTCTTGGATCCATGTTGGAGGTCCAAATGAAGCTAATTGTCTTTCTAATCAACACTGAACAGGCATGGCTCATTTCTGTCATGATTTAAGAGCCTTTTTTAAACTGTTATTCTCGATCATTTTGTATCTCAAGCCAACATTCAGTCTGTTTTAACAGACCCCTCCCCCCCCGTGTCTGTGGGCATGCCGCTCCTCTCCTGGCTCCTTCCTGGCTTCCGGTCGCCTCCGATTATCCACACCTGCCTACCATCAAGCTCATCACTCTGCAGTATATGAACCCCGGCTCCTCACTCACTCCTCACCAGATCGTTGCTGCAGCCGCGGTGGTAGTTTGTAGTTCTTGGCAGCTCTGTTTTGTACAAAGAGAGTTATTTCTTCATGCCGTTGGTATTTCTTGTATGGCAGGATAACCCTGAGCAATCAAATCAACTTTCCGAGCTCAGCTCAACCTTTAACTTTCTACTTTCTTTCTTTCTTTTTATTCACTTTTGCGAAAAAGCCAATTAGGGTGATGGTTTGCTGTGTATGTCTGTGTGTCATCATGAAGCATTTGCTGCTTTAATTATCCTATCTTTATCTCACCAATTAAATCTCATCCTCTCTCCCAAGCTTTTCTTCTTGTACACACACACACACACACACACACACACACATAGAGGTTCAGACTGCCTCGTGACTGTGTTCTCCAAACGTCAACTGGACAGCGTGGGCTATTATTAATCTCTACAGGTACTAAAAAGCATTTGCGTCAATGCGTGTATGATGAGTGTGTGCGTGTTTTCATCTGAGACACAGCGGTGCACTCGGTCTGTGCTCGACTGAAACACACAAATTACTGTTTTATAGCGAGACGTGCGCATTTCTCAAACAGCTTTCAGCGCTGCAGACGCCACTCAATTACTCCTTAAGGAGAAAATAATTTGTGTCTGCCTTTTGTTCTTAGATTGTGCATCGGGCTAAAAACTGGCTGAGCTGTGCTGGGTGTAGACACTAGAGAACAATAAAAGACATATCCGTCAAATAAGATTACAAACTAACCCAGGCAAATGAGATGTGTACCGTCAATTCAAGAAGACAGTGATATAATGATTTTTCTGTGTTTCAGGGGGAAAAAACAGACATTTGAGCTTCAAACCTCGGCACAGTCTGGAAATACGCTGCATTCTTATGCCACATGGCAAAAGTCCATTATATTGTTTCCTAATCCTCAGAGTGTGCAGCCAGTCCCCAAACAGAAAGGAGCAAATCATAATTGATGGCTTCAGTTATCCCTTCAGCAGCCTGTGAATTGGCTACAAGCACTACTGTCAGTGTACAAGCATTTAATGTTACACATTCAGGACGAGGGACTTAATACGAGTCTAATTTTATTAACTAGAGCAACGAGACGTTCAGGCGTGTGGGCTTTGTTTCTGCGTATGTGAAGCTCTCGGCCAGGCAGCAATAAAGGCCTCGGACACCCACAGCGTTCACCTCGTACGCCTCAACGCATCCTGTTTGACTCTGTCAAGTTCACATAAATATAAACAGGCCTGTGCACACAAAGTTGTTGGTGTAATCACCTAGCATGACTGAGGAGAGACTGTGGGTCAAAGAGGTCGGCCGAGTTTCATCGGAAGGTGTCCAAGCCCCACTGACACTGTGATTTAAATCACTAATCACACACACACACACACACACACATAAGCAACTGCTTTGATGGGGAAACACGGTTTAATTAGCCGTCTAGTACAGAGGAGCAAAGTTGACGAGTACAAGTTGTTTGTTGCTCTTTTTCTCTACATGCTCTATGATCCCTTGAAATGCCGTTCATTAGTCCGTAATTCAACCCTGAAAACACACCAAACACCTTCTTTGTTCACATGAAGTTCTGAAATGTTTTCTGGTGAAAACTAATGATGTTTTACAAGCTGTACTCAGTTATTAACAGCTCGAATAAGGATTGTATGCATGGCTGAAAATGAGACTGTTACTTTTCATAAACAAGTAACACCTTCTATATCTTACAAAAATAAGATGAGCTGAATCTATAGGCAACAAAGCCTATCGATCTGGACCTAATCCTTCAATCTCTCATTGTGTCTATAATGCTGTGTTTGTACATTGCTGTTTATTGTTGTCATTTGTGTTTTTCTACTTCACATTTGAATGCTCCTTTATACAGCTCAGTGAGCATGAAGGTTTTTCAATTGACTATATGCACAGTTTAAAAACACCTTAACATTTACATTTTATTAACCCCTTCATGTTTTGCCGTAAAAAGACAAATAAATATATTTTTCAAGGAGTATAAGGACATTAATATGTAGAAACCCTTTAAAGCAGACAACGTTGGGCAATTGTAGGGTCAAGATGAAGATGATTGTATTCATGGGTTTCAATTTTGGGTGTTTGTACGACCTAAATCCATGAAACAATGTCGCTGTATTGCATGTCATTTTAAGGCAACAGGGTCATAGTGACGGTGCCATAACGTAGTTGCATCTCTGAAATCCTGTTTTGCCAAACAGGGAGCTCAGAGCTGAGATGAAGATTAGGAGAAGTGGGCAAACACACACACACACACACACACACACACACCAAACAGCTGATATGACACACACACACCCAGCTGGCCAGATAAACCCGTAAATGTGATCATTGGGCTAGCGCTTGACGTCACAGGGATGCGTTCGGGATTATTTAATGTTTTGCGTACGTGATGCAGCAGTTTAAAGACTTGTGGCGTTGCGTAACATTCCGTGTCAAGCGGATTGGGACACGATGTGACTAGGCTCGCTTTGATTTCATTAAAGGAAATACAAAGTTGCGTAAAAGTTGCGACTGGTATTTGTCTGTTGTTTGCTTGGTGGTTTAATTTGCACAAACTCAACTTCTGTGTTTTGCAGATGGTTGGTGACAGATAAAGCTCTTTCCTTTGTTCTTCACCTGTAGCTGACAGCATCACTTGCTTGAACAATCCTCTCTAACTCCTCATATTTTCTCACCTGCTGCCGAGTGACTCCAGTGACATCCCGCTATTTGCTGAGCAGCTTGTATTTCGCTTCTTGCTTGTCACAGGAGGTCATCCGTCTCTCTGGTTGATTGTTGCTGACCTGCTGTTTCTGTGTCTCTGATTGACAGGTGGGGAAAGCGGCCTGGCTAGTGCTGTAGTCACCGTTCTCGTCAAGGAAACCAAGAGTCCTGTCCCGTTGCGATGGGGAAACAGAACAGCAAGCTGAGGCCAGAGATGCTGCAGGACCTCCGGGAGAACACAGAGTTCTCAGACCACGAGCTGCAGGAGTGGTACAAGGTTCGTTGACACACATTGTACACAGAAAATGGACAGTATTTGTGGTACCAAGTCATAGTAAAGATACTACTACCAATACTGCTGTTACAAAGTAACTTATTACATGTACTATACTAGAAATACTTGTACATTAGTTGAGTATTTCCATTTTATGCTACTTTATATATCTACACCACTACACTTCAGAGGGAGATATTACAAATATTAAAGCATATCATTGTTTCCTTGTTATAGATTTAAAGTATGACGTGTATAAATTAGCTCCACTTTGACCTGATTCAACATCTTGCTGTGTAGTGCGTACACGTTATAGCATCAATAATATTATCTAATAATAAAATATATTGAACCCTGAGAGGGACAATAATCTATAACACCGATTGCAGCCTTGAATATGACAATGTTTGTCTCACTATAAGGCAGAGCACCACATGCTAGCAGTCTGCTAAGCCTCGGCATAATGAGGTGCCACAGTGACCTGACTGCAGGAGTTATCTCGTCTTGTGTGCAGGGACAGTGTGTTTGTGTAACGGCGATACGGCTTCATGCATGGATTAAACATATGGAACACCTGTGTGAGCGGTCCTGAATACAAACTGTACATGTTATCCCACCTCCTCCCTGACTGAACCCAGGTCTCTTCACACTGACAGTGGTCTTGATGGCGCTCGTTCTTAGCAGATTAACAGCTCCACGCTGCTGGAGATGTCATATAGACCGCATAGTATATTCCACGGGTCGTCGAGGGGCCTGAGGTCACTGAGAAGTTATCCAGCTGGTCTTTTATTGGAGAATGTATTGACGATAGATCCATGAAAAGTTTTGCCGCTCTCTCGGAAAATGTCAAAGACACTGGTAATGAAAAACAAGTTTTATTAAGAACAGAGCTGTGTTGACTTTCCACCTTCGCTCATGAAAATATTTCACATGACGATCAAAAAGTAATTCCATCCTTAAAATCGGGACAATGATTTCGTCACCTCTCTGCCTCTGTCTTAAAGGCCTTCGTAAGAAAAGGGCTTCATTTCTGCTGAACAATGGCAGAGACTGACATGACTTTTTCTTCTCGGGCACAATGCTGCTTTACTAATGTGACTCCTTGAAAAGAAGATAAAAGTGCTTTCAACTCTCAAAGACTAAGCTCCTTTTCAAAGAGCACTTCTTCAATCTATTCAGAACGAAGCGTTACATGAATGAAACATGTACTGGCTGAAGTTTTGTGACATGAATTTGATTCCTGATATTTCCAACTGGCTTTGAAATGGTTTTAGTTGGATCTGATGATGTAAAACTTCTTCCATCATAGAGATGTGTTATATTGTCCTGGAGCAACTTATGTTCACCCTTGTATCGCCTCACATCGTCTTCTCTCCAGGGTTTCTTGAAGGATTGCCCCAGTGGTACCCTGAATGTGGAGGAGTTCAAGAAAATCTACGCCAATTTCTTCCCCTACGGCGACGCCTCCAAGTTCGCAGAGCACGTCTTCCGAACGTTTGACACCAACAACGACGGGACGATAGACTTCCGGGAGTTCATCATCGCCCTGAGCGTGACGTCACGGGGAAAGCTGGAGCAGAAGCTGAAATGGGCCTTCAGCATGTACGACCTGGACGGAAACGGGTACATCAGCCGCGATGAGATGCTGGAGATTGTACAGGTGAGCAAAGGACTCTGGGTAATGATGTTTGCTTCAGGAAGAACCCATTTGGAACCCTTACTTCTAAGAGTGTAGGAGCTGTTCTGGCCTAAGAGCAAACTTGTCACATGTGTGACTTCTGAACAAGAGGGCAATATGATGCCATTCATGTTTAGTTTCCGAGCTCAAGGCGAAATAACCACAATGACATCATCAGAGTTATTTCCTCAGACTTTAGGAGACTCTTCCAGATACACAGAGGAACTTTTCACATGCTGAGTCATACTCCTCAATACAAATACATTGAGCTGTATGTGTAAATCAGTGGAGTTTCTTAAGGTCAATATATGGGGCACAAATCAAGTACAAGAGGATCCAAAATAGTCACACGGGGAGTAATAACATGACGTGTGTGGTCACCCCAAATAATGTCATAAATATGTTATTTACCAAACTTGGCTTTGCTTTTGGTAACCAAAAACAATCCAACGACTGTTGCATTTACAGGAATAGACAGAGGGAGCACTTATGCTATATGCTCACTTTAATCATGCAAGTTAATACATGCGTATGTGCAAAGAGGCTCAAGCACCAATGTGCAAAGACTTTAAAGGACATACTTAACGTAATGTGCTGACTGGCACAGGCAACAGTGCATGGAGGCCGTTAAGTACAGTCCTACATTAGTGCTGTATGTAATCCTGTCACTCTTCAAGAGAAGAAATAAAGACGAGATATTTGCCCCAGGATCTCACGTATGTCTGTGTTTGCAGTGTGTGTGTGTGTGTGTGTGTGCTTCTGGGTTCTCATAGATTAGCGGGTTAAATTTAACCCGAGTTCATCCCTGAGTGTGCAGAATACTGGGATTATCCTCAACCTCATTGAGTAATGTTATGTTGGATGGGAGAGGAGGGGCCCATTGTGACAGTGGATTGGTTTTACATCACATTATGGGATAACGAGCCACATCCTCACAACATCCTCATCAAAAGACATGGCCAACAAAACATGGACACACTTTTCTTGTAAATTGTTAATGTTTTTTAAATTGAATGAAAATGGTGTAGGGAGAAGGCCATGTATGCCACAATTAAGATGCGTCTGCAAAATCACTCAAACTATCAGACAGCACTGTCAGTCCTTGTTTAGATACTTAAAGGTTTTCTATACAATATTCAGAGAATCAATATAGCAGCTGCCCCCGACCAACAGCGCCGTCACAGAAGCTTATGACCCACCCTGAGAACTGTTGATCAAAGTCAAACCATGAAAGAGAATATATAACCCAAAGTGTGGGAGGCAGCCTCATTGTCTTTTAGTATAACGTTTCTATATTTTTCGATGTACACACAGCTATTAACCTTTTTTTCGACATGAACTTGTTTTATAGCCCAAGAGATAAAGTTTTATAGCCGGTATCAGAAAAGCACAGAGGGCTTATTTTGTGCAAGCTATCTTCCCTTCTGAGGATGCTGCTGTGACACCGATCTTGTGTCAGTTTAACACCCTGTGCTCCCGATGGAGAACATCTGATTTAATGGGCACGTAAGCTGATCGTAGATCTGCGTCTGAGGCCAGCTGATACTCGGTGTTTCCCTCTGCTCACTTGCAGAGTTTAATTTAATGCTGTCGGGGGACGGGAGGCGCTCGGCTCGTAACGGTCAACAGATAAAGATGTATCAGATCAATACAGTAAGCTCTACTTGTAACCCCCCCCCCACACTGCTGGCATGTATCACTGTGGTATGATGGCGTGGTTTTATAGCCTCACAGACCCTGTGTGGGTATTTGTATACAAGCTGGCCAGGGAGCAGCTCTTGGCATCGGGAGTAACAAATGTCATTGATTGATGTGAACTTTAGAAAGCCTGTTTATCAGCATCTTGAAAGCTGCAGTGGCTTTATTTTTTAGTTCCGTTGTGTTTTTAGTTCTCTCCTGCTGAGTCTCCTTCATGGCTCCCTGCTGGCTTGAATTCACTTATCTTTCTGTTTTCTCTCCCACACTCACTCACCCCAAACCCCGTCTCTCTCCTTCCTCACGCTTCGTCTATCAGGCCATCTACAAGATGGTGTCATCTGTGATGAAGATGCCAGAGGATGAATCCACGCCGGAGAAGAGGACGGATAAGATCTTCAGACAAATGGACCTCAATAACGATGGTGAGAGGAGGAAATGGCAACATGGAGGGGTGAAGATGCAGAAGGGAGGAGGAGGGGAGGGAGGGAGGGAGGTAGGGATGGGTGGAGGGTGTGACAGTTTATTGACAATAACCTTTGAAAGTTGCTCACTTTACTGCACTCTTAGAAATAAAGGTGCTAACTAGAACCACATCCAGTTCTACCGCTTGTCTTCATAGTAGAACACTTTTTGGTTCCTGGTAGAACCTTTTATACAGGTTCCACCTGGAACACATTCAAATGGTTCTCCCTAAACCCAACATCAAGGGTTGTACCTAGAACCATCTGTGAATGGTTCCACCCAAAACCCTGGAGAGTCAAACCAGAACCTTTCAATCTTGCTAACAAGAACCCACCGAGGGGGTTCTACCGAGAACTCTTTTATATTGCAATAGTTTCAACGTTGTCATATAAGATTCATGTGTTCATCAATATAGAGACCTAGATACTTATATCATTTAATGGTCAACTTATGTGATCCAACATTAAATTGCAAAGTGCTTCAGATTGTAGAAGAATTGAGTCTTCGTGTAACGAGAGTCGTATTCCTCCAAAATAAAAGCTTTTTTCCCTGGTTTTCTCTGTCTCCGTCTACTCTGCAGGCAAATTGTCCCTGGAGGAGTTCATCAAAGGTGCCAAAAGCGACCCCTCCATCGTCCGGCTACTCCAGTGCGACCCCAGCTCGGCCTCCCAGTTCTGAACCCCTCGCCCTGCTACGACCCTTTCCCCCTCACCCTCTCTGTTGCTGTTGAAACAGTCACTCAAATCAATGCATGATGGTTCTCCTCTCATATCATCTCTTTTTTGTTCATTGTTGTGTGCGAGGATTGAGGCGGGATTTTAAGGAGGATAAGAAAAGCCATCACTATCATTTTGCTTTCATTTTTTTTTTTTTTTGATATTTGGGAAAACTGAAGGGACATGCGTACAGTTAACCACCAGGCGTCAGTGGTGTCCGCTAATGTTCCCGAATATCTCTCTCTCTCTCTCTCTCTGGAAAAATGGATTTCCAAGGAGCTCGTGACAAAGTGTGGATTTTTTGCAGGGTGGGGATTGCTGTTTGTCCTCCAACACACATGTACATCATGTATATACTGTATGTCTCTGTATATCACAAGACAAAGTTTGTCTTCGTGTATGGTTCACACACTCTCTGGCATTGAAAAGGCAGTATTATGTAGCGCAGCTTCCTGGTCTGATCTGAATGGGTGGTCTGGGTGTAGGTGGAGGGGGTGGGGGGGTTTATTGGGATTTTACTGCTATATGATCTTTCGCTGAGAAAAAGAAGGCCTGAGATCCCATTAGCTTTTTATTGATAACTACTGGCATTTTGCTGATGTTTTTTTCTTCTTTCATTTGTACATATTGTTTACCTCCTTCATACTGTTTTATTTATTCATTTTTATTCGTATTGTTGTGCTTTGAATTTGACCGTATTCCAGTTTACAGTGACAGAGAGAGAGAACATGTGAGAGGAGATTGATCTCTTTGGGAGTTGGTGGATTTGTTAAAGTGGAAGATTCCGAGGCTCTCGTGGCAGAAGCGGATCCCATAATGCTTTTGATCAACGACACCAGTAGCACACATCGTCTGAGCCGCCATGTGTTTATAAAGCATGGCTGTGCATTCGGTGTGAATGCATGTGGATATATGCACTGTGTGCCCGCGGCTAACTTCTACAGTATTATAATGTTGTGTTGTTTCTTAATTTGTAAGTATTTTGAAGTTCTTTAACAACGAGCAGTAAACTTCTGAGGTAGTCGTAACCTGTCACTATACTGCATGATCCTACGAACTGACTAAATCCACACAAACTGTTAACGCACATCGCCATCTTTTTGTAGCTCTGCAGCCTCTTCAGCATTGTACCCGGCGGAAATGATCGAGTATTTGTCTTGCTTTGGGGCCCCCCCCCCCCCCCCCACCACCCCTCAACCTCTCCCCCTTCCTCTGACAGACAGAGAACTCACTAAGGGCTCGTTCATCACTCTCTAGCTGAATGCTTTTATTACCTCCTGGATTAGTCTGCTTGCAGAGCAGTAAGATGAAGGGACTTGTTTCATGAGATACTTATTCTGATTCGAGTTTTCAGGGTTTCCAGACATACAGCAGTCAGATCAGTGGCCGCGTTTACACTACATTCATTTATTAGCCTAATATTTGGAGCGCCAAGGAAGTGGAAGACGTCGAGACACGACACCCAATCAATCTCTCCAACGCAAAGGGAAGACACGAATGCGACATCCTTCAGAATAGAATACCATGCACGTGTAAACACAGCCGCTGGTTGCAGGAATAGCAGCACCACTCCCGTGATTGTCAGGTCACTGTTGCCGTCTTCTGTTTTTTGAGGTTAACCACAAAACAAACTCCGTTTGTGAAGCAGCGAAGCATTGGGCAGACTGGGACAGTTATGCACTCATACATCATTCTTTTAGGAAGGGACCTTCAGGTTCTTTACTTCTATAGGCTGATGCAGTATAATGTAGAAGTGTTACGTGTTTAAAAGTGGTGGAATGTAATTAAATACATTTACTCGATTATCGCAGCAATATTCTTTTATGCTGCTTCATATTTCCGCTCTGCTACATTCCAGAGGGAGATGTACATTTGACTGCAGTACATTGACCTGATAACTATAGTTAGTTACTTTTTAGATTAAAATGTTACACTCAATACAAATCAGTTCATAAATCATATTGCATTCTTATAGATTAAACTGCCCCAAAGTATATAAAACAGTTCGTATTAGCTTCATTTTAAGGTTCAATGTTTAATCTATAATTTAAAAGTCCTTCTGAAAAGGCTTCGTTGAAATCATTTCAGGTGGTTTAGCAGCTCCACAAAGGTTTGGACAGACTTCCCTTGGCACTGAATGACGTCTCTGTCTGCCACGTGAGATAAAAACAACTCAGAGGGATACATCTCGTTTAGCTAGTTAGCGAAGAGCACCTGTTATAGCGGACTTAACCGACAAACGTGTGATTTATATCAGCCCAACACTTCACTACCTCACAAACTGAATTACTGTGTGGGCAAAGTGAACCTCCCAATGAGAGCTGTGCTGGTGCAGCTGCAGCCACACGACATTGGGCCTGACCTTAGGCCTGCCCTTGAAGTAACTTATTCCAAACATTTGCACAGGCGCTTCCTAATGAGCCGCACCTCTGCTGTGGGGATCTTATAGTGTCACTGCCTTCTGCTGGCAGGATAAGGAACACCAGTTGCTACCGTCTGATCCACTACAATTTAACCCCTTTTCTATTCTCACTGCCTCTGATGAACTGGTACCTTGTGTTGGATAAATACGCCGCATTCATTCTTTCTTTCCTTCTTCCTTCCTTCCTTCCCTCTTTTTCCTTGCTTCATATTTTTTTGTTGCATGAAAACCTCACGTGAGGATTGTCATGTTTGTTCCGTTGGACCTGAAAATCAAAATATACCTATGTGTTTCAAAGCTGCACGTGTGGACTGGTTTCTCATTTCTGATTATGTAAGGAGGTGGAGAGCGTTTCACCGCGGACAAGACTAATGTCCGGTCGGAGAGCTGAATATCTCTGTCATGCATTTGAGTGTCGCAGCCTGTAAAGATCCTCCGTAGATCCTTATTAACAAACCCTTAACAGGACGTGGCTGAATGTGTTTGCACAAACCTGTCAGGTGTCTACATGAGTGTAACCGGTCATTCCTGTCAGGTCACTCTCTGCTGCTGCCATCGCCACATTTTAAACTGAAATGTTTTCAGTGACAGTTCAGCTACTAAACACACAGGATAGATGCAAAACTTCAAATAAATACTTTATTTACGTGTCGACTTCACTTCGTTGAAAAAAATAAAAAACAACTTGCAGTACTAGTTTCTCTTGGCCTGTAAAAGCAGAAAAAAAATGCACATGCACTCTGTGCACTGCATGTCTTTACTTACTAGAACATTTTCCTATTCATACTGTACCTGCCTCCATTATGCGTGTACACCCGAACATTATAAGAATAGCTCCGCATTGTGGGAAATACACATTTTCGTTCTCTTACCGAGTTAACCAAGAAGATGGAAATGTCTGAGTGCTAGATATGAGGCTAGGGTCAGGAGGATAAGCTTAACCTAGCACGGAGACGGGAGGACAGCTAGTCCTAATTAAAATGTCCCATGTTCCCAGGGTCCCATATTCCTAAGGCCAGGTGACCCCGTGGTTTTTACGGGAAGTTGTCTGCTGTAACCATAATCATATACGGTAACTTCATGGAGTGGCCATAAGAAATCATTACTATTATTAATCAAATTGGAACCATATTGTTAATTAGTAGAGACTAGTTGTCTCCCCCTGCTTCCAGTCTTTATGCTAAGCTAAGTTAAGCAAGTCCTAACTCCAGCTACATGCTTAACGCACAGACATCATGAGTGACGTCAATCTTCTCATCTAACTCTCTGCAACAATGCGACAAAGTACATTTTCCAAAACTATTGTATCAACTCTAATCCTTGTACAGGGAACGATTTGTCTCATCCGTCCTAATAGGAATAATTTGACCCTCGTTACAGCAGAAATACAAGGACACACACTCGCATAACTGGCATCCTGCACACTGCCTGAGCCGCTGCTCAATAGGTTCATAGTTTAGAAGCACCGAAGTATGATGTTTCAATCCAAGTATTGTAGCTTGCACTACAGTCTACACACTCTCACAGCACTTCAAGATGCTCTAACATGTCTAAATCCAGAAGCTGGACCTTTCCAGCGTCGCCCTCTCCAGCAGTTGGTGCTTCTCTGCTGCCTTTTGCTGGCTGCCAACACGCGTTTCTTGCCTTCCTCTGTCTGACCTTTCTCTGTTGGGCTGGCGGAGGGGCCGCCTCTCCGAGGGAGGGAGACTCCGGTGCTGATGGGGAGGATGCTGTGGAGGTCTGCGCTGCTGTCTTGTAGGTTCGGTATTCCGTCTCGGAGGTTCGCGGTGACTTCGTGGAGGTTCAGTGTAGAATGTTGGAGGTTCAGTGCAGCTTCTCGGTGGTTCAGTGCAGCTTCTCGGTGGTTCAGWGYAGCKTSTYGGWGGTTYAGAGTAGCGTGTTGGAGGTTCAGAGTAGCGTGTTGGAGGTTCAGAGTAGCGTGTTGGAGGTTCAGAGTAGCGTGTTGGAGGTTCACGGTGGCTTCTTGGTGGTTCAGGGTAGCGAGAGGGAGCAGCTTCCTCCATCGGCCTCACCACATTGATCTACACAAACAAATTATTAACCATTAAGTCCAATTTTTTAAATAATGGCTTTATTGAAAGCCGTCTTATGCACCATCTAAAAGTTTACATTTTGAGTGGAAATCTCACCGCTCTGCCAAAGTCCCTGGTTCTCTTACTGTTCGGGTAACAAGGTAGACCCAGGAATGAAACGCAGACAGCGAAGCACCGGGCAGAAAACACCATCTGGATGACACAGGTCACGATCAGAGGCACCCAAAGGATCAGAGTGGTACTCTGGGGAGGGATGGAGGAGCGGAGTTAGTGGCAACTATCAGCTGGACCAAAGAAAACACAATCTGAGGCAAGAAGCAGCAGGGACACTGTGCGGTTAATGATGTGTTTCAGAACCTTATTATTCCTCAGACGGCTGCGGAGCAAAGACACAGCAACGAGTCAGCAATGTGAATAAAATATGTAGAGCAGAACGCATCAAAGTAGAAGTGCACGGAGGCAACTCAGAGAAGAAGAGCCGCTGTTTGTTAGGCATGCTGACTCACAGACTACAAAGAAAATGAATGGTAATAGTTGGGAATTTTCTTTGGAATGCATGATAAATTATGCAGGAAGCACAAAAAAAAAAAAAAGAACTTGCATAACCATCATTACTGCCTCTAAGCAGCAGCTATGAACATCAGAACCAGAAGCCCAAAACACACTTTCAGGTGATGTAATGGGCCCCCCGGCAGCCATATTGGATGGTCCTTTGCCAATAGTCAACTCTGAGAGGACAGCGTGGTCTGCAGTCTCAGCAGACTACAACTTAGTTACTTCAGACTAAAAGATAAATCTGGTTTATCTTTATTTTGGGTAATCATTTTTAAACTTTATTCGGAGGCAAAACCAAAACCAAAACAATAAATGCAAAAAATCTATTTCTTCATATTTTATATCAAAATCCAATCATCTTTTTTTCCCTGTAAAACTTAATGTGGGCTAACATAAGCTAGTACCAACAAATTCCACCCAATAATATCATGATATCCAACTATCAATCAATCTGCAACTTTTAGCGAATCATGCTACTTTCTAACCTCGCCCACTTGTTTAGCGGTCCAATCAAATGTGAAGGATTTGATTTAAATCCCTCTTGTAACTGTGCATCAAATGTTCCGTTTTCACTGGGAAAACATCACTTCATTCAGAAGCTGAAGACGCTCTAACTTCTGGTTTCACTGTTGGTGAACTGCAGCACACCTCACTTTTGCTGTATGCACTTTAATTTTAATTGGTTTGTTACTTCATGTGTCTTGTGATGACAGAATGTGCTGAAACCTCGGCATGACAGCAGTCATAATTGGATAATGACTTGAGTCAAACCCCACACACACACACACACACACACACTCGCTCTCACAGTAAATAAAACAACTGCTGTCCAGGTTGCACATCTCTCTAATGCTGTGTTTGAGTTATTAATGGCTGCAATCCGACACTGTACTCTGACCTAAAACCGACGCTGCATGCATTTTCAGTGGGCCCAGCATTAACGCCTGCGTCGAGTATAAATCCAGCTTAAGACAAAAGGTCACTTAAGTGACAAATTGTAGTGTGCTAGCCGAGCTACAATGCCAAAGTCGTGCTGATGTGTGGCTGCAGCTGTGAGGCTGAGCGGGCCTGACAGCCCATCTGTAGCACGCTGGAAGAGGACAGAGCCTGAAGTGGACAGACGGGGTCGGGTCAGCATTCCTGCCACCCAGCCCACCGGCTGCACAACGTGACTGAGTGAGTGATGGAAAAGACACCCGGCCTCACGCCGCACACCATCAGTGCACACACACACATATAGCCTCCGTGATGTGCAGCCACAGCGCTCCGTCGTGTTTGTGCCGCAGTGACGATGGTCAGCGTTTTGAAAGAGCCAGCTGCTGGAGAAAGAAAGGTCACAGTATCACGCCTTGATCTCAGCGTCCGTCGCTGAGCACGAATGCACTCACGTAGATGCGAGTGGGGTCAAAAGGACACTCGTTGGTGATGCTGGAGTAGCCGACGGCATCGGGGAAACGGCAGTGAGTCAGGAGGCTCCGCCCGCCGTGAACGACAGCCCTCACCACGGACACGGAGAGCCCGATGGCCGAGGCTGCCGCCGTGAGTGCCGCGGCCAGGCCCACCGTGAAAAGTGACCACATCTGTGGGAGGAAGAGAGAGGGAGAGATGAGAAACGCAGCGCTGGCTGTTGGGAAAATTAGGCAGAAGTACATAGATGAGAGGACAGCAAAGAATAAACAATATTAATACAGACGGAGCAAATTAGTCAGATTCAAATCTGCATTAAAACATTAGATATGGAAGCAAAACATTTTTCATTCGCTAAATTTGCTAAAATTAAAGTAAAAAAAAAAAAAAAAAAAAAGTAGGCCTATGAGCTTCTCAGTTCCTAAAGGATTCATAATGGCCTGAAAGACAGCTGGATGTAAAGGAGGCTGACGAGGTTTTATATTTCTCTCGAGGACACCAATTCCCACGAAAAGATTAAAACAAACAATGAATTCATCATTTTGCGAATTAGTTGATTAACAGAAAATGAATGCTGTAAATAGGCAACAACATATTTTTACTGTCATTTGAGTGACGTTTCCTATAAGCTAGAGTCTAGCTGTTTATTCAGTCTCTTTAAAAACATTTTCTTTTGAAACTACATGTTTGTAACCACTCTTTAAAGATTTACATCTATAGTAGGTAAAAAAAAGGCCACAGACAGAAGAGAGTGCTGCAGGAATGAGCCCTAAAGCCAGGAAATGAGTCAGCACTTTTGCTCTTCGGTTCCCTGGGCTCTAGTCGGTACATTTCTTTGACAGGTTTCTAGATAGAAGCCTGAAATAAGGTCTGTGGTTGACACAACATTACGAGGTTTGGATGTTTTATTCTACGATATAAAATACGTCAGTAAATATTCCTCTCAGGAAATTTTAAGCTTTTACTTTACTTTTACTAAAAGTGGATAAATAAGACGCCGACTAGTCCGCCTTCATGCGACATAGGTAATTTGTTTATAGCCTAACGTTTGCTTTTTACTTCTGGTGATTGCATCCACGCTTCAAAAATCCTTAAAGTGTTGATTATTTGTGAAGATTATCTTGCTGAACAAACCATTAGTAAGTATCAAAAACTTAGTTTATTTTCTGCAGTAATCCATAATCCAATGGAAACATCACATCTGCTTTTTGTCGAGGGAACCAGTGGGAAGCTAACCACCAGGGCCTACTAAAACCCATCGTCCCTGCAGAGGATAAGGATGTCTAAAAGCATCGAGAGCAACCAATAACAAGCTGCAGCATTACAAACCAAAGCTATCAGCTGTGAGCAATGATAATGCTAAAGTGGGTAGAAAAACAGTGACCCTATAAGTTTCCAGAAGGCTAGACATGTAGGCACAGGGAGAAATTAAAAATCACTCTGTGAGTCGAAACTCGATGAGAACAACAAGGCCTGATGCTGTGTGAGAGATTAGAAGTTGTAGTAGATTAGAAGTTGTAGTAGATTAGAAGTTGTAGTAGCCGACATGAAGGACTGTGTTAATATGACAAAAAGGGAATGTTGCGTTTACTTGTTGTTCATGCACTGTCATAGCTGGATGACTGCATAAGATAACAAGACCGATGAGGAGTTTGACCAGTTTACGGTTGCTGTGGCTAACAAAGGAAACGGGGAGTGGTTGGTCCGCCCGGGCTCAGCTCGGGCTCAGCTCGTCAGTCCCGTCCGAGCAACCCAACAGCTGGCTGAGTAAACAGAGGAGAAGCCGTTCTGCACGACTGCAGGGACAAAACACAAACTATTCCAGCTCTTCAGGTGCAGACTCGCACACCTGAGGTGACAGGCAGGAGCTCAAAGGTGCTTTTTTTTGTTTTGTTTCAAGTCCCCTTGACTAGATAGACTGAGACAAAAGCTGAGAATAAAAAGCATGAAAACATCAAAAGACAAAGCAAGTGTTTGTGCAGTGCAGATAGACAGATCAAAGTTAGCAGAGAACGAGAGAGTGAAGACAGTAGCTCTGTTTACAGGAAACATACTAACCAGGCCTCTACTCTTCTTGTTTTTAGACAGGACGATAGCCAGAATGCCGACAACAATTCCCTGCAGAGACGAGACGGACGAGATTCAAAGAATGTTCATGTTGACCACAAAATAAAATTAACATCATTCTCAGTCTCAGACGCACTCAAGGTAGCAACACGAGGGGGAAGTCAAAAGATGATTTCTCTCAACACAACTACAAGCATTTCAGATATGTCTTCAAGTACCTCCGTGTGCTTTGATTGTTGTTTTTACAAAGCCAGAAGAAGAAGAAGAACTCACAGAATCCTTTTAACTTTACATCTAACTCATTTTAGCAATTGGAATGATTCAGATTATCAGATGAATCTTTGAGTGATTCAAACGATTTTCTGCATTCTTAAAAAGGGGATCTACATATTAAATTTCCTATGTACATAAGAAAAAAGAGGTTTCTTCAAGGGCCGTTTGTTCAGGAAAGTGGTTTCACAAGAAGCCCTAATGACAAGAAGCCCAGAGAATCCTGCACTGTTGATTTTTGGATCAAGAACGTTTTCTGCAGACTTATGATCAATTCTAGCTACATTTTTAGATGCAAGTGTGGTCTGCAGGGTGCAGCCTCAGCCCTGATAGAAAATCCCACGACTTACCATCATAAAGTCTGCACTAATGCGAAAATTTTTGTGGTGTGTTTATTGCTCTGTTATTTTGTAAATCTAGTTTGAAGTAATGTGTACTACGAGTTCCTGTATCCTCCATAATGTTCCCCAGAGCTGCTACAGGTTCACGGTGGATCTCATGCACTCACCACGAGGCCGGAGGTGAGGGCGACCACGTTGGAGATGGCGTACTCCATGGCCCGGGCCTGCTTGTGGAGGTTGATGTGTCTGAGCACCACGCCGTGCATCAGCGCCCCTAACAGGAAGTTAACGTGGCCGATGAGGATCATGCTCAGACCCATCTTCATCAGGGTCTTGGGCTCCTCCAGGCTGGCACAACACAAACCTGGACCACAACAGAGGAGAGTGAATTCTCATGACGTGACATCATCCACGTTGTATTGATCAGAGGCAGAGTGAGGTCAAACGCACGGCGGAGATGACACTTGTATTAATGATTAGCTGCTGAGCACATAACTACAGTACAGGCTGTTCAGACGGGAACCGTCCAGAACAAGTCGCTCAAACGCAAAAAGAGTGATGCTGCATTTGACATGAAATTGAAATAGTAATATAGTAAATTAGCAATTTCTGCCTATATGGCATATATCAATAAAGATATGTATCATGATATAGCATGTTTTCTGGTAATTCAATAAATTATCACATGGCAAAGCCTATTTTTCTTTACTCCTGTGTGACAAATAGAGTATTTTCTCATTTAATTAAGAACTTTAGTGCAATATGTGTGTGTGTGTGTGTGTGTGTCTCTACATGCATGCACACAAATACAGAGTAATTAGATTAAGACAATGAAGAAGTATTACCACAAGCAAAATTCTTATCGCTTCAGAGTTTTGGAGAAAGTTGAGTTGTGTGCTTGTGATTATCGATTTAGACAACTTAATTGTGCGGCACGATGTGATTCCATTAGAAAGACGATAAATGATCACGTTGAATTATTGCTGGCACAACCTTTCTTTATTGTCTTAACTCAACGCACTGCTCTCCCATGACAGAGAACCTTTCAAATTAAAAAGATACATTTAGGACAAACATGTGTCTCGGCTTAATTCATAATCCAACCGCTGAAAACAATGAGATGGTACATCTGGTCTACATGATGATTAATATAAACCTACACATCTATGTGTGTGTGTGTGTGTGTGTGTGTGTGTGTGTGTGTAACATGGTCACTGCTCCATCCTCACAGCTGAATATGTCTCACTCACACATTCCTGCGTTCACTGAGACAAAAACACATGCAGACAATTTGCATTTGACATCAGCATTCACACTATTGTTCAGCCTCAGATACTTTCACCACGGGGACCAAAAACATACTTTAATTTATTTAAATTAACGTGGAGTATCAGGACTTTGATACGGGGCCTGCTTTTGATTCATCCTAGGAAACAACTACAACTTCAAAACTATTAGATTATTAATGCAAAGTTTACGTCATAGATCATCTCCGGACAGGTGTGCCACACCGAACAAACATTCGGAAAGTTTGAAACAAACAAACTGCTGCAGTCTAAATTCATTTAAAATGGAGTTCCCAGACACATGGAGCCTTTTACCTGCACCGGCCATCTCTGTTAGGTCACCATTCGGTTACAGTGACAGCGCGTCTCGTGCGTGGAGCTTATCCGCGTGTCCTCTTAACTCTCCAAACGATAAGCAAGCACCTCACCACTCTCACTCAGCGGGACAGACAGAAAGTAAAGTGACAACTTCTCACATTTTTCAAAATAAGATCCCATCATATTTTAGAATGTCTCAACGTATAAGTTTGTTTTGAAGTGCTTTAAAAGACCAGTTATTTAATTACCTCGAGCAATTACGTGCAGTAGGCTCAATGACAGCTAGAGAAACTTCCAGAAATAGCAAATAGTGCAATTGGTTCAACGAATAAAGAAAATAACCGAAATTCTGATTATGCTCGATTAATAATCTGCAGTAAATTAATATTTGTAATACTTATTTTCATTCCCCAAAATGCTCTGTCCACTTAGTTGTTGTTTTTCTCTGAGAAAACATTTAATGCCTTTATTTTGAAACCAACGTTGCTATTTGCCCGTTGCCTGTAGAATGTCTGCAACCTTTACACAGGTAAACGTGCACCTGTTAGCGCCTGGCTGCCTTCTGTTTGAAAAACAAATACAGTCATCTGCCTGTATTCATAAATGTTATGTTTATGTTTATTTGTCCCGTTATGGACGTTAACCTCTTCTACTAGGTACAGTGTCAACACCTGAATCAAATCCTGGAAAAAAACATGAGACACCTGATTACCAGATAAAAGAGCAGCATATAATATATACATTAGGAATGTTGTAGGTATGTATAGTTGCCTCAGCAGTACACACATAATGCACAACAGTTGAACTCTGGGAGGGATCATTGACAGGTTTTCTGGAGACTTTCACATCCGTCGCATGAAGTAGTGTAGTGTAGTGAGCCTGTAGTGCCACCAGGTGGAGAAATGGCGCCATTAAAGGAGGAGAAGGCAGATCTTATCCATGCTGTGGTTTTTATTATGTAGTTGAAAATATTTTGTATATATATATATTTATATATATATATATTTAGTATATTTAGTGAATACAAGAAACAAATAATGTCAGTTTTGGTTATTGTCAAATCATTCAGCTTTTTTTTGCTACTGAAATCATTATTACACTTATGAAATTTTCTTTTAAATATCATTACAGAGCATAGGACTGTTTCTTACAATACAACATGATATTTATATAGAAATTATACATAAAATTACTTTTTAAATAAAAATACCCTCAAAGGGAAAAAGGATTGTAAGTCAATTAAAGGCATAACAACAAGTATTATGACGCGAGAGAGGACTTGCAGTCCAGGTTCGGGTGGACCCTCCTCGATGGGGTCTGGACGCTGCCTCTGTGTTTGAGGGTCACCACCCGGAAAGCAATCAGATAGAAGATCTCACAGATGTTGAGCACCACGCACACGATGGACGCCCCCACCATGAAGTAGGTGAAAACGGTCTTCTCGGTGGGCCGGGATATGTAGCAGTCCACCAAGTTAGGACAGGGCTTGACGTCGCACTGCACCTTCCTGGGTAGCTTGAAGCTGTGGTAGATGTAGTGCAGCAAGTAGAGGAAAGTGATCTCGAAGGTGGTCTTGATGAAGAGGCTCGACAGGTAAGTCCACCACAGACCGCCATGCTTTTGGCCCGGATTGTTGTACAGCCGGGTGTCCTCGCCGTGCTTGGCCCGGTACTTGCGCTCCCGCTCCTCCCGGTAGGCCACGTGCAGCACCACCATTAAGGACGGGCAGGTGACGAAGATGAGCTGCAGAGCCCAGAGGCGGATGTGGGAGATGGGGAAGAAGTAGTCGTAGCAGATGTTGGTGCACCCCGGCTGGCGGGTGTTGCAGTCGAAGTGTCCCTGGTCGTCGCTCCAGACCCGCTCGGCAGCCACCACAAAGACCAACACCCGGAAGACGAAGACCACCGATAGCCAGATGCGTCCAAAGGCAGTGGAGTACTTGTTGACTCCGCTAAGAAGACCCTGGAGGAATTTCCAATCCATGAGTTCAGCTTCGATCGGCTTCTTTTGAGGCTCTTTAGAAAGATTTTAAAAACTGGAGCGCTAGAACACAATGAAGAGACAATGAAAGAGTTAGGCAGTTACTCAGAGAAACACAAGGTTTTAAATGGGAAATTTACCCCAAAATCAAAAATACATGTTGCCGAGTGTTGGAGATATCGGCCGTAGAGACGTCTGCATTCTCTCAACTATAACGGAACAACATGGCACTCAGCTTGTTAAGCTCAAAGATCCCAAAAAATAAAATAAAAACTGAAAAAAACAGAAATCGGGACCCGGTTGTTCAAGATAATCCACAGACCTTTTTGTGAACAGTTTTCATGTATATAGTTCCAACATGAAACTGCTCACAAAAAGGTCTGTGGATTATCTTGAGTAACCGGGTTATGGATTCTGGAAAGAGACATCGCTGAGGAGTTTTTTAAACGTTTTTCTTTTTGGAACTTTGAACACCGCAAGCCGAGTCTACAGCCAACATCTCCCAAACTAGGCAACTCTCAAAACAATCTAGATCGATAGATAGAACTACAGGTAAGAGGGTAAATGTGTATTTTTGAATGTCCCTTTAAAATCAGCCTTGATTTAGCTAAATATTCTATAATCCCTTCCAAATAATTCATTGCGTACTTAACGCAGTACTTCTCTTTTCCTATTAAACCAGTTCTTTGGCAGCTATAGAACCTCAATCCCCCTCTCCTAAATATGACTCTTGAATACTTAAATTGCTCAGCTTACCTTAAGAAAACCACTCAGTCCATTGTGTTCAGATGAGGAATTCTCTGGACAGGCAACCTCTCTCCGACAGTGGGTATCGTGTATTAACTGTCCACAAGAAACCACTGTTGGACATTATCAGGAGGTGTGGCTACTTCTTTGGCATCCACCCAAAATGTACCTTTAAACCTCCAGCTACTTCCTGTCAGCATTCATTTATCTTACACTTGTTAAAGTCACCTTTACTGTGACAGTTGTATTGTGACGGAGTGCCGATACTTTGAATGGGATACTGTCCAACAAAACAGCAAAACACACATCAGGGGTTCCACCGAACGAGGAATTTGTTTGCAGATGAATACAGGTGATAAGGAATATCAGGTAGGCCTTACTGGAGACACATGTAGGTGTGGCTGTCTGCTCTGATCACCACATTTCTCAAGAGGTGACTTTGTATCAGCTCCATTAGGCGGCCGTTATGCGGAGATATGCCCCTTTGTATCCTTAAATCTGGATTGAAACAGGGTCACCACCTAGCATTTGTTTGTGCAAGCACTCCGGAACCATTTGCACTCAAATACACCCGAGATACGGAGCCCCACTATCGCAAAATCAGATACAACGAGCGTTTTGCTCGTTCTTTTTCTCAGGTGAGATTGGTACACTCGGTCTTAATCTAATCTCGGCCTGCTGGTCTGAAGGATTGCAGGATGTGGTCGATTGTCAATAATGTTTCTCCCATCAGTAACCAAGCGTTGATCATTTTGTGCCCATTTGGAAACGTCACGATGTGTGTTTTCTTCCGATTATTTTTGAACATGTTGTACTCCACCATCTACATCTCTATTGGTTCATCTAACTCTGCACTGCTGCACCCTGCATGCTGTAGGTTCTTTAAAGAGCCGAACACACAGTTGATAAAGCTCTCGCTCTAAAAAATGACCTCAACAATATTCAGCTAATCAGTCTAAAGGTAAGATTTCTGTGGCAAAGCAAAATTTCACAAGATGGTTGTTTATTTTACAAAATATCATCTTTATTTTCTGGTTCAAGTGAGTCCGTTTGTGTTAAAGTACACACACGGCAGCTCTCACGTCTCAGAACAAATTAAGCAGTTTTACAGATAACAAAATAATCTCAAGTAACAAATATATTCTTAGAAATAGTCAAATGACAGTAAATCCCCTTTAATTTATCAGTTATTTTAGATCAGAAGCCTTTAAAAAGCCAACCGCATTATGGGACAAACACATTACACCATTTTGATGAAGAAAAGAAGAAACAGAAAATAGGACATGACCTTTATAAAAACATTTTCTTCAAAACCACGGACATTTTGCTGATAAATGTGGCCAACAGTACAAAAGCTACCAAACATAGTTCTATATTCCCCCAACATGTCTCTCAGGAGACTGCTATGCTGTACGCTGGGGCTGAGCTCTCGTTGTCCACCGTCTTCTCCGGGAGCGGCTCCTTGAACGCAGAGTTCTCCTTCCCGGTCAGAGGAGTTCTGACCATCATGAAGGAGTTCTCCCTCACCGAGCGACGTTCTCCTTGGCAGCACTCCCAGAACCTCTTCCCGCACAGGTAGAAGATCTCGATAAGCGTGAGGAGGATGCACACGAAGCTGGTCACCACCATGAAGATGGTGAATATTTTCTTCTCCGTGGGCCTAGAGGAACACAATGGTCACATAGTCTAAGATTAACATTTCCAGTTCAGCCATTGAGACTCCAAGATCTGTAACTATGAACCTTGGAGGTAAACTTACCGGGCGATGTAGCAGTCCACCACATTGGGACACGGCTCCTCGTTGCATTTCACCAGCGGCGGGAAGAACGTGGCCTCGTAGATGTAGAACAGCAGGAAGACAAACACGCCGTCCACCAATATCTTAAACAGCAGGCTGAAGAAGTAGGTCCACCACAGGCCCCCTCGCTTCTTCCCTGTGTGGCCATACAGAGGGACACAGTCCTCCCCGTGCTTCAGCCGGTGCTTGCGCTCGCGCTCCTCTCGGTAGGAGACGTGGAGCGTCACAAGGAGGGACGGGCAGGTGACAAAGATCAGCTGCAGGGCCCAGAGGCGCGTGTAGGAGATGGGGTAGTAGTGGTCGTAGCAGACGTTGTGACAACCGGGCTGCCGGGTGTTGCAGTCGAAGTCCTTCTGCTCGTCACCCCAGACCTTCTCGCAGGCCACCAGGAAGACCATGAGCCGGAAGATGAAGACGATGGCGAGCCAGATGCGGCCGAACGCCGTGGAGTATTTGTTCACCCCGCTGAGGAGGCCCTCGAGGAAGGCCCAGTTCATGGTGTTGTTTCAGATGTTCTTTTGGACCACCTTGAAGAAGGAAAAGGAGGCACCAGAATGCGGCAGAAGGCTCTCACACAAACTGAACTCAGCCTTGCACGAAGGCTTTTTAATAGAGCACCTATTACTGCTGCCTTCTTGGCACAGGTCGATGGGGAGGGAGGAATATCGAGGAGAGCAAACATGGACTCATTCCTCAGCTGGAGTCACTAGTGGAGCTGGTTGATAGCAAACACCTTGTTTAACAGGAGAGAGAGAGAGAGAGAGAGAGAGAGAGAGAGAGAGAGAGAGGCAGGGAGATTGCTGGATACTTTAATTCACACAATGAGGTTGCTGTTCAGGGTGCTGCAAGTTAAATATTAAAGAGATAGTTTGACATTTTGGGAAATACCATTATTTGCTTTTCTTGTTGAGATTTCGATTAAAGATCAATACCTCGCTCACATCTTAAATATAAGCTACAGCCATGAGCTGACCAGACTCTCTACAAAGTTGGAAAAAATGAATCCGCCCACCAGCACCTCTCACCGGTGGGCAGATTTCATTGTCTATAGCAGATAATTGATTAATTCAATTGATTTTTTTTCCTTTCAATCATGAACATTTAAAAAGAACGATGTCAAAGCATCATAATAAAAAATAACACAATAATATGATTATTAACACATCATTAACATTACATTACAATTGTTATATAATATACAGTATGACAATTACATCATAGAATTATATGTTAATCGTCAGAGGTGTATGAAAGCACAATTGTGCGGCTGTTGGAATCTTAAAGGCACGTGTTTGTCATGTTGGAGGCACGCAGATGAACTTTAGAGGTACGAACGAGACGGTTACTACCGGGGACAAGCTCTACTCTAAAAGATATAAAGGTAGCGTCTGGTTCTGGGAGTGCATCCACTTGGTCCCTTCAGCTTCAGCACACGTAGTTATTCAGCTGGTGTTGCACTACATTAGCAAATGCACATATTTAAACTAAGAAGGGGTTTGATAGACGATGGAATTAAAAAGTATCTACACTGTAAAGAGAAATCATCATAGTGTTACAGTAGTACAAACAAAGCTTCAGTACGAGTCAGTAGCTATACTTATAATGGCCTATGATCATAATTGCTGTTTTCGACTGTACATTTGACTTCATCGGTGATGATGTGGCACAACATGCCAATGTTATAAACAAAAGGGATCAATAACAAAACACATCCACTGCGTTTTATTGTAAATCGGACGATTATGAGGAGTTCCTGGGCAATCCCGCAGCATTTCATCTGGTGAAAAACCCTCAGCAGTGGGATTAAAAGTATGCTATTGATTTAAAAGATGCTATTATCATTATTATTTTAATCAGCATTATTGCCGACATCGATTTTCATATAACTTCTTCAATAAATGCTTGCAAATGAGCTTATATCTGCAGACAAACACACTTATGTGCTTGGTTGTTGCTGCGTCGAGGCAGACAGATTTAAAAATATACGTTTTAATACCTGAACAAGTAAAAAAAATAAACTACTTATATTGTGAAAATGTTTTTATTTTTAAATTAAAAATATTTGGTCAGGTTTATGAATAAACCAGGTATGAATAAACATGACCAAATAAAACTATAAACTACTTAAATTATGAAAATAGAGTGCCACTAATGCTTAATTAACTAGATGGGCTATTATGTCTCCTATGAGCATCGTTATTAATTTTTTTTTTTAATTTTAAATATTATTTCCAAATATTTTTTTTACTTTCATTTTTGGCACATTGTTATAGAAGCCAATTTCCGCAAGCAAAAAAAAATCACTACAAAATTAAATAAATAAATCATTTTATTCTTTTTTTTTTTAGTTTACAAAAAAATACAATACATTTTTTTTTTTTACTTAATTTAATTTTGTAAATTTAAAAAAAATAACTTTATATTTTTTTTTCGCTGACGTAAATGGGCTTCAATACATTGCTGTTATTGGTTAGCTACGTAATTTTAGTAAGTACAGTATAACCGGAAGTCATAATTGTAATTTTTGCTAGCTTGACAGTGGTCATAAACTGAGACAGACTCCCAAAGACAAAATGACCCCGCACCGGTCACCCTCTGCGCGTTAATTCACTGTCACCTCCGGACCCAGGACTTATATTTCTTTGGAGAGGGTTTAGGGGGAAACCCGCCACTTTCCCTTCAGTTTGCATCATCTCCGCTCTCCGTCCAGCCCCGGCTGCGGCTGTCTCTCCACAGCAACGGGAGGTAAGAGAGAGCTGCTCCGCTGCGGTGGGACGATCCGCCGCTAGCTGTCGGCTAACTTAGCTTAGCTAAGCGAGCTAAGTCAGTTAGCATCTGGCTGTGTCCCAGCCAGCGAGCTAAGTCAGTTAGCACCTGGCTGTGTCCCAGACAGTCCAACCTACCGAACCAGATGTTTGCTTGCCAGCCACATTTAACTGTAAATGTTTCGCACATAGCCGCCCATCTTATGTAATGTCGATGTAACTTCAAAAGTGGAAGTTTTAGATAAGTTGTTAGCCAAGATAAAACAGACTAAAGTGTAAATTTAGCCAAAATCCGTAGTAATGTTTTATATGTCCTTCAAAATAAAAGCGCAAATGTACACTGATTTTTCATAAAAACAAAGCTACACAAGCAAATCTACTTAGTTGCATCCTGTCATAGAGTTACATTAGAAGTGTTGTGTTTCTCCAAATATTTCACGTACAACTCTTGCCAAGCTTTGCATTAGAACCGAAACAGCGAGCTTTATTAATTGTTTATAATGTAAAGTATATAACTATAAAGTTTAACTTTCAAACAAATGTACCCTTATCACCTAGGTAAGTTACTGTAAGGTGGTGGCTTTTTCTGCTGGCTCACTTATTGTAAATACAATATGTATTTATTTTGGTTTAAGTCAGGTACTTGTTATTAAAGAGACGTTGGAACGATCAAAAACGGGAGTTTGTACTGTTGCTCTTATTCTGAAGGTTACATTGCATTACTTCCGCTGTCTATACGTCACGCACTTGCTAACTTTACACAACAAGGTAGCGAGCAGCTATCGATGTGAGAGGCTGGTGCTCACGGGGGAACCAACCGGAGTTTGACGGCGTTAGCTTAGCCAGCTATAGCCTGCTAGCGGAGTCATCTGCCTGTTGTCGGGTTTTTGCCAGCATGCTAACAATGCTAACAGGGGCCGCTTAACAACCGCAACACACTGCAGCAAGTCTCCTCTGTCCCGACTCTGCAGAGGTCCAGCCAAGCTGAGCTCCGCGGAGCCATGCGACAGTGGTGCGTCCCCGCCGCGACCCCTCGCACCGAACCACTCCCGGGGCTCCTGTCTGTGTCACCTCCTCCACCGGGAGGTAAGATAACCGGTTTAACTTTAACTTTTTTTTTTTAAAGCGAGAGCCAGCTCGCTGCTTTAGTTCTGCGTCTTTGTTGGTTTTGCACATAAATAACTCACAATATTACCAGTGTGTGCAGACATACTGTAGCTCTGTAAACACTCCACATTTCAAACCTAATTCTCTGTATCTGGCAAGTTAACTTTGTTAACTTTGTCCTAAAACTATTGGATTTGACACATTTTAGAAAATGAATCTTTCTGGTGAATTCGGCATACATCCCATTTAACAAGAGCAACTTTTTTAAAGGTAGTTCTGTTTGTTTGAGCCGTGTGTTTAGGTGTAAACTATTGATGGACAAGGTCACTAAATCACACCTGTGCAGAGTAAGTCCATCAGATGGGTATTTAGTTATGTTGTCCCAGATGTCTGAATGAGTTTACTGTGATCTTCACACAGCAGCAGCAGCAGACTTTATAATTGATGGAGAAGGCTTCAGACCCTGCACATGACAGGCATGTACAGGACATGAAGGGATGGATGGATGTGACGGGACCTGATGTTAGGTTATGTATGCCAGGGTGATCCTACTTTAATTCCACCCTGGACAAATGGAGCAAGGTTAGCCCCAAGTGTCTGTGCCAAGTGTTTGAAAGGGTGCCAACATTTCCAATGACCCAAGAGCATCCTCAGAGGAGAATGCAGTGTTCACTTTTACTCAAAGTTCTTTGGTATTAGCGTAACTAAAATCATTTAATTTGATTATCATTTAAAGCCTTGTAGTCGAGATAAATAAACTCCCAACAAAGGAAGCGTCGTGTTTGGATTCAGCTTTAAATGTTTTTCATCTATTAATAATCCTTTTCATCTTTTATCAGTATGTCTGCGGGTTCCGAAATCGTTTGCGACATTTTATCTAAATTTAAGACCCATCAAAGGTGGAGATAAATATAGAGGTATATGTCTTGGTAACACTTTGTGCTGTTTATCTGGTGAGAAATCACCCGAAGCTACAGACCTTTGGGGTATTAATAGGGCTTAAGTTGGTTCGTGTTCACCTACAAAATCGGTCTTGTTTCCTTCAAAATGCCAGCCTAAAATTATTATTCTTATGATGTCTGCAGATGCCAGGATGGAGTGCTGTGAGGCGGAACCGCGCTACACCATCGAGCAGATCGACCTCCTGCAGCGCCTGCGTCTGTCCGGCATGACCAAACCTCAGATCATCCACGCTTTGGAGTCCCTGGAGAGGCTGGACCCGGACCACCGCCCGTCCCACTGTGACTCTCAACGCGCCCCGTCCAACAACAACACCCCCGCCGCGGCTGCCCCGGCCCCCTCTTCCTCCTCGTCCTCGTCCTCCTCGCTCTCCCTAGCCTCCGCCACCACGCAGACCTCCGGCCTGGACGGCGCCGCGCTGTCCCCCAGCAACAGCTACGAGGCCTCGCCTCCGCCCCTCTACCCTCCCAGCGTGGCCGTTCAGCGGTCGTTCAGCTACGACATGATGGGAGAGGAGGAGTGGGACCTGGAGGAGAAGGTGGAGGAGTACATGAGGTGAGGAACGGTGGCGGAGCTCACGGTTATCAGAGAGAATGGTCGAGACAAAGAGAGACTATTATAACACCAGATAATGACAGCTACCCTCCCCTGAGGCGCAGGCTTATTCTCCAGAATTTTAGTGGAGTTAATTCAGGTCAGGTCTTTAGGGACGGCTGGGAGAAGAGAAGCATCAGTGAATAAGGTTAGTCAGAGCAAAGGCTGGTGTTTTACCCACCACGTAGTCGTTCTAATGCCGCCATGGCTTGTTGTTGCTTTTGCAGGAGAGACAGCAACCTGGTGAAAGAAGAGATCAAAACGTTCCTCAACAACCGCAGGATCTCTCAGGCAATCGTGGGCCAAGTTACAGGTACTGTGTTTGCTCTGTAAAGCTAGTGGGCAGGTTTTATCTCCCACAGTCTCATGATGGAGTTGAGTGTGATGTCCCGATGAGGATTGATTCTTGATTAAATAAGTAGAAAACACTTTTTCTGTGTATGTAATCCACTAAATTACAATAGGAAACCTAACCGTCTGCTAAGCTAACTGGCTAAGATGAAGGTCACCGTCTGACTAAACATGAACAGAAAGAGAAGTGTGTGGGACCGACAACACCGTCTTTAGATTCTAGAGGTTCTGGAGTGAGGGTGAGAGATGTGTCATCTCTGCTCTCACTGATGTTAAACAGGAGATGATAAACTCTCCTGCTGAAACCCAGAAACAGAAGATTAATCGTCGGCCATTTTGATAACTTATTTATAGTTTAAGTCTGTCTCGCTATCCAGCTTCTCAAAGTTTCTCTGTTTTATATTATTTAAATGAAAAATAAGTCATATTGGGATCCAAGGAACTGATGAGCATTTTGCTGAAATGTTATGTCTTAAAAGATAAATGAATTAATCAAAATATAACTGACAGATAAAACCAATCAGCTAAAGTCAACAACCCTTTGTTATTTAGTTTCTTCCAAAGATAAAACTGAACTTGACATGTTTTTTTGAACCCTTTTTAAAATGACTTATTGAATATAATGCTGAAGGAAGAACAATGCAATAGCTCAGAGCAGGTCGGTAGAAACGAGCTTGTGGCGCCCGCAGCATGGCTCCACCTCGAGGCAGTAAATCGTGAACTACAAGTAGCAGCATGTTGTCAAAGTACTGCACCAAATCACGTGTCCTTAATTAAGGTATTGATATTGGGGAGGCTTTATTAGCTCAACAGGAGCTGGCTCACAGCCGATCCCCACGGTCCAGATGAAATGAATCGATGTCTTTAATGTGTGAAGATGACAACATGCCCCCCCCCCCCCCCCCACCCCCCAACGCAGGCATCAGCCAGAGCTACATCTCCCAGTGGCTGCTGCAGCAAGGCCTGGAGATGAGCGACTCCAAGCGCCGCGCCTTCTACCGCTGGTACCTGCTGGAGAGGAACAACCCCGGTGAGTCTCCGGTAGCAGGCAGAGAGTCGGGGGGGGGGGGGGGGGGGGG